TCTAAGTCCGCCATCTCTCTTTCCTCCATCTCTTTTCTTCTTCTCCTTCTTCGTCTTCTTCTTCAGTTACAAGAGTGAGAGAGGTTACTAAGCAGGGGGATACTGGCAGAGGTTACAGTGGGCGTGTTGCCCAGGATCTGATTCGACATTTCTGAGGCAGGCATTGATTGGACATCGGCAAGGGACTATTTTTGGACTTCGCTATTGCGATCTGGGTTTTCTCCCTCGCCTCCATCTTTGTCCTTCCTCTTCCCCATCTCTCATCTATGGTATCTCCCCATGTGCGTGCACAAGGAGGGACCTTTCTTCTTCGTGTGCCGTCCCTCCTCCTCCTCTCACACGGGTGATGTATGATGGGATGTCGAGTCACTCCCGGTCAGGTCAGGACTTATCTCAAAGTCTTCCACTGCGCTATTATGTGCCATTTTGTATGAATCAGGATGTAGATTGCCTGTTGACGTTTCACTAACATTGCATTGTCCATCCGGTCCTTTTCATCACTGCGGATCCTTGGCTGAACATACATTGCCCAACTGGGCATGTATCAAGAGCCAAGTATCGTAACCATTGCATCCAGTACACAGTGTTCAAAATGCAAACCATACCAACCACGATATCCACCTCACCACTGCAAGACTTTAGTGTCCAACTCGACACACACCACATACAACACCAGACGGACGCAGACACGGCAATTCTCGCACACTTTGTTCGAATCAGCACGTAACCCCACCACTGGTACATAGCGCGCTCACATGCACGGCGGGTCTTAACTTGCCAGCGGGTTCACGGGAGCCTCCCAGTATAGTTTAGAGGTCCGTACATCTGGGCCAAAGGCCGTCCTCCGTGCGAGCACAGATTCGAACTGGCGACCTTGGCCTCAAGAGCCAAGTATCGTAACCACTAATAGCCAGGACATGGTGTTCAGAAGTGGAACCATACCAGTCGAGATATCCACCCCACCCCACCCCTGCAAGGCTGTAGTGTCCAACTCATCTGTGCTGTGTAACTTAGTTCGGTAATCTAACTGAAGCAAATAATTTGCAGCCCAGGGAAAATCAGTTGCTCCTGCATGCCATTCACTCTTTGCCAAGGATGGTAGAATAAGCTACTGTGTGCACTTACTTCAGTCCAATGACAGTGATTGGACACTTCTGCTGTTATAAAAAATTGTTTGTGGAAGCAGGGTACCACCATGTGTTCTCTTCTTTTTTGCTTTTCTTTTTTTCCCCCCTCAAAAGGGGACAGCCTCTACTGTTATTTTGTCCATCTCCTACCATCCGGATTCGAATCCGGCCACTAACGGGCCTAGCTCAGTTTGTACACCCATGAACTGTTTTTTTGAACTACATACCCAAGTTGAAATCCAGATGCAATCAGATGAACAGAACAAAATAATTCTTCAACTGGGGCCGGTCAGTTCAATGATGATCTGTCAAGGCCGTCGCCCTTTTTGTCAAAAAAAAGAAAAAGGATTCCGATCCAGCCACATGGCCTTTTGGTTCCACCATGGGTTCTGTGTGGGTGTACCCGGCAGGCTCCACTTCTTTTTGATGTCTCTGGCCCAAGTTGATTATTTGGCCCAACCAACCAGAGTTTCCTAACTAGGTATTGTTTGTATGCTGAATCTGATGGTCTACTCTCCAGGCGAGTCTGAGATTGGAATCACAGGCAGAACAGAAAGGGATTGCAGAAAAGAATGCGGTGGTCGTAACTGGCAAAGACGGAGACGTGGACGGCTCCGAGATATTCCGGATTCGCAATCAACACAATTTTGTGATCGAAGATGACAGCGAGGAGGACGATGGCCTTGTTGCTCCAGCCCCAATGTGCCCCTGTTCGACAACAGATTCATCTGAACCTTCCATGTCAATATCCCCATACTTATCACAGGCATTGGCATCCTTTCCACCGGTGCAATGCCTCTCCCCTCCTTCCAGTTGTCCTACAAGATCCAATGGCGGTGCGGGAAGAATGCGTCCACCGTCCTCCTCCGCTGCCTCCTCACAGGTGCATGTACGATCACCATCTCCGTTGAGCGCTCATGGGAAACCGTCATCTTGCACCTTTCTCCCAAACATAGCAGCGCTTCTCCAACCTAAGCTCTTTGCCAATTCCTCGTCTACCATTCACCCGGAGTACCCGGACATGCATTCACAAAAAAGTGTCTCGAGGCTGCCACCACCCAGATCGGCATGGTCGGTTCCAGATGATGACAGTACGGTGAAGATGAGCACCGAGGGCATCGACAAGGAAAACTGCAACAATGGTTTACTGCAGGAAAATCAAAGTCCAGATGCCCACTTGAGACGGCATGGAGAGTTCAACAATGGTGGCAGAGAGAAGCAATTCTCAGGTGATCGAATGGCAGAATCGACTTCAACAAGCGCCAACAGCGTGTTGAAAAATGGCAATGGAGACTATATGAGGGAGAAAAGCAGCAGTGCACGGGAAAATCTGGTGAGAGGAGCCTTGCAGAAGGAAAACGAGGAGCAACAAACTGCCATTGCAAGTCAGCGGAATGGCATTGAGCAGCTCGAGCGAGAGGGCAAGGCACTTTCAGAGTGTGGGGACTTTGAACATAGAAATATCACCAAACTACTCTCTTCCCCAACTCAGCTGTCAGTTTTATCCAGCAACTCCACTCCGCGGTTGCCTCCTTCCTCGCACCGCAAGGAGCTCGCACCACTGCCTGTGAATATTGTTACAGAAACAAACAAGACCATTCTTCCTGGAACAAGTGAACTGGCAATGTGAAAAGAGAAAGTTACTGGTCTAAGTCTGTAATATTGAGAATATTTCCCATTGCTGGTGGGTTTTTGGACCAGGGTGGGGTGATGCTCTTTTCAGGAGATCGAACCTTGCTTTTCCCGTTCTCTTTTTTTTTCCTTTTTTTTTAATAAAACAGGTCTGTTTGGTCCTGGCTCCTTTCCATTCTGGGGAGCGTCAGTCCGGTTCCTATTCCCACGGCAAGTCAAATTAAAATACATAGAGTACATGCTCACGCTTCCGTCCATATGACCGAAGGATCCCTGACCAGCATTGATTACTCCCGTGTAGGAGGATTGACTGTCAGCTTGCCCTACCTACTTATTCCTCTCAGGCTCCAAACCGGGGCCTGTCAAATAGACACCTGTATAACAAGAAAAGTGAGAAGTTCAGCCTCCATCTGTACTTGTTCGACTTTCGCACGTTCTGCTCATCATTCTGCTCGTCATCCTGCCCATTGTACTTCGCCTCCTTCGCCGACTTCGTGGCGGTCTGTTTCCTTGCGGCTGAGCCTGATCCCCCACCACTTCCATATCACCAGCCTGTTGTCCGTTATGGTGGCGATCTTGCCCTTTAACAACCAGTCCCTCAGGAATGTACATCTTTTGACTGCGTGCTTTTCAGGTTTGTGCTTCCGAGGTGAGGATATCTTTCGCCACCTGCTCCGAATTTCAGTCTCCGCCATGCTCAGCAGGAGTGTCCACATTTCCTCCTTTGCCACCTCTGATCCCTCAATTGTCTGTGAGCACCTGCGCTTTCATATGACGCAGAGTGCCAGTTTTCTGAGTAGATCGAACCATAATTCCCTGCTGCCTTGAGGTTTCTGGGAGTGTTAGAAAGGAGAAGAGTAGTTAGAGGGGAAGTGTTGGGAGGTGGTGCAGAGAAGAGGAGAGACCATAGGTCCAGAACTTTGTGCCAGATCCAGGTGGCTTCAGGACAGAAGAGAAGGCAGTGGGGGATATCCTTCTGGTGTGCTGTTGTTGCACAAAACGCAGAGATCAGAGCTCTCTGGGTCTGAGTTTTTCCTTCTTTTGTGGAGCCATCGATTGACTGGAAGCGCTGGGTGTGCTATGAGCCACTGCGTGCTGCGGATTCTAACAGGAATGATAAGAAATTATTTGGTCCAAGGAATGGTGAAGGAGGTAGAGGGGTCAAGATTCAGGATGTTCCGCCATTTCTCTACTAGCCCGGGGCTCGGATCTGTAGTCTGCAGCCCGAGGTCGTAGCCAAATTTCACGTCATATTCGGAAATCATTCTTTTGGTCCAAGGAATGGCGAAGGAGGTCGAGGGGTCAAGATTCAGTCAGGATGTTCTGCCATTTCTTTACTAGCCCGGGGCTCGGATCTGTAGTCTGCAGCCCGAGGTCGTAGCCAAATTTCACGTCATATTCGGAAATTGTTCTTGATTTCTCCGTGGTGCCCTGTTTCCATATCCATTCCTTAGGATCGAATATCAGATCTTCAATGCTGAGTTCTGGCTGGAAGATGATCCATGGTTTGTTCTGAGAGACTCTGACCTTCCTGAGAAGGAAGGTTTTTAGCCGCTCTCTTGAGGGACCTTGTTCCGAATTTCCAGTTCCTGAAGACTGTGTTCAGAGATGGGGTAAGATATGAAGCTGGATTGGTAGCTGGAAGAATATGATCTTGAGACGAAACGATAGGCTCTCGATGGTGGGGTCTGAGAGATGAGTAGGCCCCATTCACCAGACCTCCACGTGAATTTCTCTCTTAGGAGAGCTGTCCACTGAGGAGGGGATGCTCTGATGTATCTCTGCTAAGTTGGTTTCCAGGGAGTGACATCCCCTCAGGGGGGGTCGGAGTTCTTGGTCAGTCAACCAGTCCTCCCGTTCCTTGGACCATAAGTGTTTGATCTGCCACACTCCTCTCTCCACCCAGGTGAGCCATGTTCGATCTGTTGTGCGGAGAGTCCAGGGATTACCCTCTGCATCTTTGAGCCAAGGGTTGCAGAACAGGGGCTGCCTGAGAACTTCCTCTTTGTTATTCAGTGCCCCGTGTTTGTTCTGCATCAGCCGGCGCCAAGCTTTTCAGGGTTGGAGTCCAGTATGGGTTGACTGGTCACAAATATGGCGAAGTGACAATAATCGCGTAAAAGTTTTTTTCTTTTTTTAATTCAGTAAATGGAGGCTGTTGCTCGGTTCTCCTCGCTGTCCTCCCTGTTTGAATTAACCATTCATTGGCCATGATCCAGAAAAGACCTCGCATGTTGGGTGGAGGACTTACTGGTGCGAGGTTTCTTATGCTGTCTAAGCCTCGTAAGGCCGATTTTGTCCATCAGAGAAATTGTTTGATTAGGATCTTGATTTTCATCTGCACGGCGATTGCTTCCTGTTTTGGGTCTATGATGCCCAAACCTCCTTCTTGCGGTTTCCTGGTGATGAGCTGCCAGGCAACCTTGTTTATGCAAGTGGTCCTGTTAGGGTCCACAGTCCACATGAATCATCTGACCCTAGCTTTTAGAGTCTTGAGATCGTCGTCCGGGGGGGGACCAGATGGATGCCATATACCACATGGTAGAAAATTGCTGTGTTTGTGGTTAGTGCTCTGCCGAACAGAGACGTCTGAGCTTTCTTGCACGGGGCCAGGCGAGCTATAGCTATTGCATTAGCAATCAGATTTTGACCCATCCCTGGCCATGTGCATCCTTGTTGACCATGATTCCCAAATACCGGAGTGCTTGTTCGCCCATGGACCATGAGAGGGGGGTGGAGAGATCAGGCGGTTGAGGAGGAGTGCCATCTGCTAGCCACCAGCCTTCGGTTTTAGACCAGTTTGCCTTCATTTCTGACACGAGTCGGAAGGCTTCCATGGCTCTGACGAGGGCCTGAAAGGGGGAGTTATTGGCCCGGATGAGAACCGTGAGATCGTCAGCCAACATCAATGCAGTAGGCAGAGAAAAGTCATGTAGGGGGTTGTAATTTTGTTCTGTGAGGCGATATATGGAGGGGTCCTTGCGAAGGAAAGAAGCTATGGCTTCCATGATGAAAAGGAAGATGGGGAGGGGCAGGCTTTTCCCCTTCTTTTCATTTTCTTTCCCCCCTTTTTTCTTGAATTCCAAGAAGCTCCTTTCTGAGGGCAAAAGGCTATGTGTGTGTGTGTGTGTGTGTGTGTGTGTGTGTGTGTGCGTGTGCGTGTGTGTGTGTGTGTGTGTGTGTTTTGCGTGTGTTTTCGTGTTGGCTATACACAGCTCCACAAAAAGAAAAGCATGACTGTGCCAGGCTGTTTCGTCGGGCTTTCACCGACTGTGTGTGTGTTTACGCAGCATCAAACTTCCACGATCGTGCCCCGGCGTGTTGCGTTGAACGAACTAGTCGTGCAAATGTGATGACCTGACCAAACACGGACTGAGACACACAGCTGATTTCTGAGTTTTGCCCATGGACTGAATGCCTTGCTGAGTTTCCCGCTTGCTACTAAGTTCTCTAAGTCTGTGTGTGTGCACGCTTGCTGGTCTGCATGTCTGTCTGAGTGCTTGATGGCTTGAGTGTGTGTGTGACCCGCAAGGGCACTTGTTCGTTCGTTGGGCCCTCAGGGCCGGTACTTACCTGTGGCCGTGACATTGAGGATTGCAGCGGGGGAAAACACTCAAGTGGCGGGGGAAGGAGCCCGCAACACTTGAAGCAGCGGGGAAACACTCAAGTAGAAGGCAAGTACCACACCCTGAAGAGGTAGATGTGCCGGGTACTGGAGGCCGAGCAGAAGAAGACAAAAGTGACATTTTTAGAGGCCAGTAGTTGTAGCCTTGTAGGCTAGGTCTAGGCGGGTACCAGTCCAACCAGTCTGAGTCTAGGGCCTGTACGGGCAATATCAGAGTCTGCAATGATGTTTCCCTCCGGAAGGGAGGAGGTACCGGTTGCTTGGAAGGCCGAGCGGCCTGGAAGTCACCGCCAAGAGGCAAGCAGGCCGCTATATCTCCAGGCCGGGCGAAGAGCCCAGCCTCATTGTCGGTGTGCAAGTTTGGCGACACACTGGTTGGAGCGCTGGCTGGAGCAGCGCTAGCACTCAGGAGCGCTGCTGGGGAAGGAGCAAGGACACGGAGGAGGAAGAAGGCCAGGGCTAGAGAGGAGCGCCAGAGGTACTTACCTGGCTATGGTGGCAGCCATCTTCATCACTTTGGTGGGCGCTGCAGCAGGAAGGCCCCAGCTGGGGGTAGAGCTACACCAAGAAGCTTTGAGGCAGAGCTAGGCATCGCGGCCCGAGCTAGAGCAGCCATAGCTGCTTTGCGTTGTCCTTTGGACATCAGGGCCAGGCCCAAGTAGTCCGCCATAGCCTCGGCCTATGAGAGTGAAGAGTGAGGGAGGCGGCCATGGCTATGGTGGACCTCAAGTGATACCTGCAGTAGAAGAGGGATTAGGACTTTGATTCTGGTTCAGCCATTCAACATTGTATTATTATTTCTTGTGTGAATAAGAGAGGAGGAGATAAGGAGGAGGAGAGTGATTGGCGAAGAAGAGCTTTCTCATTTGTCTATGCTGGTGTACATCATCTTCTTCTTCTTTCTTTCTTCTTCTTCTTCTTCTTCTTCTCCTAAC